AACACAAATAAAAGAAATCTCTTCATATAAACAAACTAAGGCTTTGTCTGTGCTCTTTCCATTTAAAATTAGAGGCAACCACTGCATTTTAATCATGATCCAAACAAAGATGCTGCATACATGCAACATGAGCAGTTTTTAATCTAAATTACATTGTACAATTTCGAAATTTGAAGCAAAAACAGAATGGTTTGACTTCAGTTTTGTGAAATTGTGTATAAAAAAATATCTGCATGAAACAGAAACAGCAGACGAGCTGAACGAGACGCAGATTCACTCTCTGCCAGCAGGTGGCGCTTAAAGCGTTTCCTTGGTTACCGCTGTAAACAAAGCAGCGCTGCGCTTATGAACTTTAATATGCATTATATCGTTACATCCCTATTTATAACTAATAGTCCCCTATAGTCTCCTATTATGCATAAAGCGTTTTTTTTATTGGCATTTTGGTTACACAATAAGCTGTCTCTGGCATTTCATTTAAAAATAAACTCTTGCAACTTCTGTCTGAACTTCTCTGTCACAGAAAATAAGGACTAAGAACACTATTTAGCACACACACACATTTATATATAACAACACACACCAAAAGACCAGCATGTACAGATATCTATATTATATGACCATAATAATACTCTAGTAACAGCAGTAATAATCTAGTAGCAGTACTCTTCATAAATCTATGTTGTTTTCATCACGCTAGAGGCTCTAGTTCATCCTAGCGTTCCCTACACTTGCAAAAGGTCTCCCATGTTCCCTTTCCTTTGTCCCATAACCCAGATGACACAACACTGATTTCACAAGCGCACTCTGAGGAGCCTGTGCTGCATCTCACGCCACTAAAAAACTTCAGAAACAAAGATTATATCTTCAATGAAGCCTACTTTACTTTCTCTATTGGCAAATAAGTTTCTGGTTTTAAGCATAAATACTGTAAATCCAAACAAGTCTTAAAATCTTCTGCACTTTGCTTTTTTGCAAGAAAATGTCTCATGTTTTAAGGATGTCTATATTTACTAGAAATACTGTATGCTGTAGACTTGAACTATTAGTCTGCTTCCTGTATTTTGTGGAATATGTTATGTGACTCAGTCTGCTCAGCCTGTTTTAAGCCACTTATGCTTACTAAGGTTTTAAAGCTACATGACCTTTCAAAAGTCTGGGGTTGTGAAGATTTTTTTAATGTTATAAATAAAAAGTCTATATATCTAGTATAACTAAAGTCTGTTCTGCTCACCAAGGCTCAAATGTATTTATTCGCTCCAAAAAAATAAAAACAGTAAAAACAGTAAAATTGTGAAATGTATTTTATGATTTAACAACTGATTTCTATTTTCAAAAAAATTCTGTGATTTCAAAGCTGTATTTTCAGCATCATTACTCCAGTCTTCAGTGTCACACGATCCTTCAGAAATCATTCTGATATGCTGATTTGCTGCTCAAGAAACATTTCTTATTATCATCAATGTTGAAAAACGTTGTGCTGCTTCATAGTTTTATGGAAATTCTTTGACGAATAGAAGTTGAAAATAACAGCATTTATTTTTGTAATAGAAATCTTATTATAAGTGCCTTTATTGATACATTTGATCAAATGAATGCGTCTTTGCTGAATAAAATTATTAATTTTTTCCAGGGAAACTGGATAAACAAATAAAATGTGCACACCAGAGGGAGGTTACTATGAATGTGTGTTTGAAGGTTCACGCCTGAATCTTTTTTGGGAATTTTGGGAGGGTCAAAGAAAAAAAACAATAACAGGAACTCTTGAAATCTGACTAAGGAGTTGTGCTGATGACCACCTAAAAATACACTCCACCGTTCCGGTGTCTTGCGTCAAACTCCCAACCGCAGTGGCCTTGTAATCAACAAAGCTGTGAAAAAATCAAACCAGCTTGCGCATCCTTATCTGTTATTATGCAACTAATCAACTACTGAGAGCAATCATCTTCAAGTATCTGTTGACCGCCTCATTGTAATCAAAAAACAATTTCATGAAATGAAAATAGGAGTTTGAAGAAAAGAGAGGATTGTGAGGAGTGCTGGACTTCATCCAGTGAGCGAGTCCAGGATGTGAGGATGTTCTCGCTGATGGCCAGCATGGCACTTGACTGCAAACACCTGCTCCTGCCACTCAGCCTCCGGCTCTGCTGCCAGATCAATATCAGGAGCGCAGAACTACCTCTGACATCTTGACACCAGTCACAACTGCCAGCGGCTACAGGCTGCAATTCATACCAGCCTCTTAAACCTCAACGGCATGTAGCACTCAACTTGGTCACTTCTGATGTATCTAAATTAATCACCTCAAAACCAATGAAAAATCACTTTTTTGCTTGATGAGGCTCCATAATGCTGCATAAAGAATTACAGAACTTCAAGTTCAAGAACGCCAAAGATGAGTTTTTACAGCTTTTCGTGTTTTCACTGTTATACACTCGGGAGGCGCTATTACACATCTTCTGAACGAGTACAAAACCTCCCGAATAAAAACACAGGTGAGCAGGACGAAGAAACTAGCGATCTCTTATGTAAACAGATGCATATGAAAAATAATGCGATCATCAGCAATGGTAGCATATAAATGAAAACTGCATAATGTTACGGAGTAAAATGTTGATCCAGGAAGTGGTATATGTCTGTGCAAGCTTTGGAGGTATTGATGGAAGCGATTTACTGGATTTATGCTTCGATAATCGTACTGAATATTATCCAGATGTAGTTTTTGATAAAAATGTGATTTTCTCACCTTTTTGCTCAAAATTATGCATTTTTATGAAACCTACCTATTTTCAAGTGTTGATAAAAAAAGAATGCTTTAAGCTAGAATAAAACAAAGTCACTGGCGGTTGCTGGCAACTTTTTTCAAAAATGCTGGCGGGGAAAGAGTTAAGCTAAACTTCGAGTTTTTGCCACACGTCAGCTATTTACTGTCAAGCCCCAGATAAAGTAGTAAGATTTTGTAAAAGAATAAGTATAATATAATATAGCTGGATATAACGTAACATCCATTTTTGGCCCACTGCCCTCAATCAAGTTTGATTTTTGGCCCTTTGAGGTAAAAAGTTTGAAGAAAGTAGTAGAAAGATGCTGTGGGAACTCTATAAAAAAACACAGATCCAAACTTCATCACCAAAACTCAAGACAGATCGTACAATCAATTCATTTCAGTGCAATATTTGCTTCCTGTTGTGATCCAACACCCCCATTATTAAGCTTAATATTTTGGCAACAAACCAAAATAGCCCCCAAAATTCACTCATAGCATCTGAGGTATTATCCTGCTTCTAAATTTATGATGCTAATTTTCACCTCATGGCGGCCAGAGCCGTCTGCCTCATCTAAATAAGGATCTCACTGTCTGCCAGTGAAGCATGTCATGGTGAAACAGTCGGGGAAAATGCATGCCTCAATGAGTCTTTGCATTCGTTTGATGTAACTGTAACATTTCAGGAGAACAACTTGATCAACATTCAGAAAGCAAAGCTTCAGAAACTGTCAAAAGTGCGACTGCATATGCACATATATCAGAAAGATCTCAAACATCACATCAACTTACAGCTAAAACACTTGAGATAGCATGAGGAGTGCACTGCAGTCACACAAGCACGAACATGAACAATGCATGACATGATAAAACCATATAAAATCATATAAAAATCCAATATATCTCATTTAGTTCATCATTTATATAGAAGCCCATCAAAAGAAGTTGACTGCAATCTCTGATCTGGTCAAACTTTCGCCTGGACTGTATAAGAAGCATTAAAATAAAACACTTTGTCTGCTAAAACTTATGTCTTTGTCTCAGTTATGACTATAAATTCATCTGTATAATCATTTCAGTGGCATTCTTGAAATAAACTAAAATTAAATTAAATAAAAATTAAAGGGTAAAAAAAAAAAAGTTACAGTACAAAACATCAAGTTACAACTGTCACCTATACCTGCCCATAATAATAATGACCAGGAGTCTATTTTTTTATAAACCGACTTCATAAATTTGTAAACTAAAAGGTTTTGTGTTAAAAGTATGAATGCACAAATGTTTGTTTTCTCTAACAGTGGTTTTAGCTATGTGTTTCAAACACACAGTTAAAAACCCTCTTAAATTAGACTAATTTAAGATTATGTATAATAACAGTAGATTTAACCGAAAGATTAGACTCTCTTCTCAGTATAATGTCAGGTTGGGGCAAGTTGTCACGTGTTTTAATGTTAAAATTGATAATAATAAACAAATAAATAAACTTTACATTGTATTACATTATTTGTTAGCTAAAACAAACATACATACTTGTATTTATTTATTATTCATATGCTTATTGTCTTTTAAAAATTTGCTGTTTTCACTCTTTGTCTTGTGTTTCAAAATTACTATTTCAGTTTTGCTGCAAAACATGCACCGCTCTTGTCACAAAAGTTCAGTGTGTTTTTATTAATGTGCTGGGCAACAACGCTGGAGATGTGCAATACGCAAAAAAAAAAAATAATAATCCCACTCTAAAACATTCACCGGGATAAAAAAGTGCGACAGCTAACCCATAACTAAAAGGACTTGACCTACAATCTGCTTTACATCATGTTTATGAAAGCGATTAGAAAGTGTCGCCGAAGTTCACCACACTTTGAAAAGAGTTTCACGAGTGAGGTCTTCATACAGACACAGGCTACATGAGTAAATATTTGATGATGATGTTGTATCCTAAGGCGTTGTCTACTGTAACACCCATATGCGCTGCACGCAACGCGACGCAACTGTTGCGCTTCATTATAATAAGCGAGGCTGTCAACAGCGCGAGCGGCCGCTGAACGCTCGGTCCGTCGCGTCGCGTGGATGGACAGAGCGCCGCTGGTTCTTATTACAAAGACTCAACTTGCAGAATAATAAATAATTAAACATTAAACAAATCTTTTCTGGGCATACCGCACTTTTAAAAGCATGCAGTAGAGAAAACGCATTAGAGAGCATTAGAGAGCTGTCAGACGCTCCATTCACTGACCTGTTTTTCAGCGGCTGGCTCTTCAGCTCGTAATACGTTTTAGGCTCCTCGTGAAATTCCTCTCCGACTTCAAAGTCGGGCACGATCCCCGATTCCGACTGCATTTTCAAAGCTGTCAACTTTCGTCAGCTCCCAGGTGGAAAATTATAAGTCAGTTCAGAGCCGTACTTTCAGACGCACGGAGTGTCGGCCACTGATGTCAAGCTGTCGGTCCCCCGTGCGCTCCAGCAGTGCGCTGGTTTCGCTTTGTAGTCCGTTAAGAGGGCTGTTCGACTGTGGCGAATGCAGCCAAATGAAGCTTGGAACTACAAATCCCAGGAATGACGAAAGCGTTGTGTCAGCGTCTTTTCATTGGCTGGCACCGAAAAGGAGGTTACCCTTACGACAAAACTTTGCAATGAACAGTAACATTTTACTTGTTCAGTTATCATGAACATTTTTCAAAAATGTTATTATTCACCGCGGATAATCGTTGTATTTTTATTCATTATTCATTATTTTTTAAATAAACGGAGCTGCTGTATGATTTTACTCTCTATGTAATTTTGTAAACAGTACAGTTCAATGTCCACGCGATGGTAGTATAATCAAATCAATGAAATAACATTATCACCTACTATTTGACTTAGTGTCTAACATTACTAATATTAGAGGTTTCAGTCATTCTTCTGTCAAAATTTGAAATAAGTAGATTCGATAGTTTAGTTTACAAACACTATTTCACTTGGTACAGAAAGTTATTTTCAGACAAACCATTGAAGAGAAAGTGCATGATTACTGCACACCTTCTATATTCTATATATTTCTGGTCTTATATCAGTCTCATTATTCTACCTGAATCAGAATTAATTAATTAATTAATGCATGCATGCCTTGTGCGTATTTACTGTAAAATACGCACTTTTTTTATTTTTTTTTTATTTTGCTCCTTCCTGTGATATTATCTGTCTTTCAGAAAACATATATATAAACTGGGGCTTGTGAGTTGATGAAGAGCAAATAATTAAATCATAAAAATGTACAACTAAAATATTAATTTAATTTAAAATATTCATACAATTTGTATGTGTATATATATATA